TTTGTTCTCCATCCATTATTGCATTAAATCATTCTAATAATTTTGGAGTTATCATTGCCTCAAATGTTTTGTAGTATTCTGGGCCCAGCCCATCAGGTCCGGGTGCTTTTCCATTTTCTAATTTCCTAAACCCCAGCTCCATCTGCCTTTCCAGTATGAGGTTTCGCCCTTCCGAATCCCCTTTTCGTAAACATGCCTTTCATTAAGAAAAAGAGAAACATAGAAAGTTTACAGTACATAATGCTAAAACCATACAGTTCATTGAGGGGCTGCCACAACTACAAAAGCAAATCAGAAAAAGCACACACCACTAAAACACTCCTGTATGGACACACAAAGTACACTAACCAATGAACAAACAGACCTGGGTCTCATTCTAAGAACTTCCCACCGGGCTGATTGTGTCCCTGGTCATTCTCCTCCCCTCAGATACTCACGACAGAAGTGAAGTGCGGGGGTGTTCAAGTCTAAGTACTGTCATGACATGTTTATCTGCCCAATTTATTCATTGACATTTATATAAATCTTATCTATATATACTATTACATGTATTTAAAATCTTATATGAGTTGGTTTAACCTCTGTCTGACTACTTAAACTGAATTAGAGTGTCACGAAAGGATGCGTGTCTAAAACGTGACACCAACATGAAAAGTTTGGAAAGCTCTGCCTTAGAGTCTCTCTGGGATCAATGACCACAGTTCCCTCCAATGGAAATTCTATGTCTATGTAGACGTCAACTCTCAGGGACGCTCTTTCCACGTGCCATCTCTCAGGGATACTTGGGTTGAGCTTTTCCTACATGGCAGGGGAGTTCCCACTATCCCACTTTTTCTCTCCAGACACTCAAAGCTGCTCACAAATTAACAACGTTGCAATACAACTTAAAATATACAAATATTAAAACTGTATTGAACATCATTAATATTTTAAAAAATTGGTCGAATCCATAGAAGGGGAAGAAGCTTATAAAATCAAAGCAGGATTGGATGTCCCATGTCATCTCTTCCAACTCTATTATTCTATGATTCTATGACTTTATGCTATGTCTATACATGGTTTCTCCCCAGGGTGAGTTCTTTGATGTTTATATAGAGATGAATGAGTGAAGCTGTGTCCAGACTCCAGTCATTTATAGGGTTGCTCCCCAGTGTGAGTGCTTTCATGTGAACGTAGTGGTCTACTCTGAGTGAAGCCCTGTCCACACTCCAAGCATTTATAAGGTTTCTCCCCCAGTGTGGATCCTTTTATGTTTATTTAGATGAGAACTCTGAGTGAACCTCTGTCCACATTCCTGGCATTTATAGGGTTTCTCTCCAGTGTGCGTCCTTTCATGTGCATGTAGAGCTGAAATCCGAGCAAAGCTTTGACCACATTCCAGGCATTTCTGGGGTTTCTCACCAGTGTGAGTCCTTTGATGTGAATGTAGATTTGAACTCTGAGTGAACCTCTGTCCACATTCCTGGCATTTATAAGGTTTCTCCCCAGTGTGAATCCTTTGATGTTTACGTAGATAGCTACTCACAGAGAAGCTCTGTCCACATTCCAGGCATTTATAGGGTTTCTCCCCAGTGTGAGTCCTTTGATGTGTACATAGATTTGAATTTTCAGCAAAGCTCTGTCCACACTCCAGGCACGTATAGGGTTTCTCCCCAGTGTGAGTCCTTTGATGCCTACGTAGACTCGAATTACGAGAGAAAGTCTGTCCACACTCCAGGCAGGAATAGGGTTTCTCCTCAGTGTGAGTCCTTTGATGCCTACGTAGACTTGAACTATCAGCAAAGCTCTGTCCACATTCCAGGCATTCATAGGGTTTCTCCCCTGTGTGAATCCTTTGATGTCTATGTAGATGTGAACAACAAGCAAAGCTCTGTCCACACTCCAGGCATTTATAGGGTTTCTCCCCAGTGTGAATCTTTACATGTCGCTGCAGATTACCCCTCCGAGTGAAGCTCTTTCCACACTCCAGGCACTTAGACGCTTTCTCCTCCATGTCAAGAATGATGCGGGTGTTTAATGCCAATACAGATGCTTGACTCTTCTTTATTCCTTTGTTATCTGTAAGTGAAGTCAAGAATTCAGCAAGATCATCGCCTCGAGAGGATGTCTTCTCCCTGTATTATTGGTTTCTTTACGAAGCTCTCCAAAGCTCTAGGTGCTCTTACTGCCTATTACAGGGAAAACCAGCTGATCCCCAACCCATCTAAAACACAGACATGTGCCTTTCATCTCAAGAACAGAGAAGCATCCCGAGCTCTGAGGATCACCTGGGAAGGAATCCCACTGGAGCATTGCAGCGCACCCAAATACCTGGGAGGAGTCACTCTGGACCGTGCCCTGACCTACAAGAAGCACTGCCTGAACATCAAGCAAAAAGGAAGGGGTGAGCCCAGTTCAGGCTCCCCATTGATTCCAGCTGAGCTGGACATCCAAGCAGCTCCCAAGGTCAATTTCCCCACATTTCCCCCAGAATTCACCTTTGGCCATATTGAGGATTCATCCCAAGTTTGGTCCCGATCCATCTTTGTTTGGGTTCAGTGCTCTCCGGATGAACAATTTCTGCTCCTCCTCCTCCTCCTCATTCTCTCATCCACCCGAAATCCTCCTTCCCTCCCTCCTTCCTTCCCTCCCTTTTATTCTTTCCCTCCCTCCCTTCCCTCCTTCCTCTCTCCCTTTCCTTTTCTCCATTACTCCTTCCTCCCTTTCTTTCCTTTCCTCCCTTTCTTTCCTTCCTTTTTCTCCCCCCCCCCCAACCAATCTTCATCCTCTTTTGGGAAGCTTTTAAACAGAGGCTGGATGGCCATCTGTCAGGGGTGATTTGAATGCAATATTCCTGCTTCTTGGCAGAATGGGGTTGGACTGGATGGCCCATGAGCTCTCTTCCAACTCTAGGATTCTATGATCCTTTATTAAAACTACAGTGTAGATGCACCCAAAGTCACCGCTTCCACACTGCCATGTAAAATCCAGATTATCTACTTAGGACTGGATTATATGGCAGTGTAGACACACACACACAGATATGAATGGATGTAGGATCACTGGTTGGATCACTGGTTGGTGATATATATCTATATCTGTCTATCTATCTATCTATCTATCTATCTACATACATATAATATACATATAATTACAATACATATAATATACATATAATTACTTATATATTACTATTATATATGCTGCTATATAATATGTTCCTACTATATATTACTATACTAAATAGACTCATAGAATAGAGTTAGAAGGGACTCTACCATGGTATTGGGGGAGAACAGACAGGAAAGAAGGAGAGAAGGAAGGAAAGAGGTACCGAAGGACGGAAGGAAGGAAGGAAGGAAGGAAGGAAGGAAGGAAGGAAGGAAGGAAGGAAGGAAGGAGAAAAGGAAATAAAAAGTGAAAGAACCAAGAAAACAGGGAAGGAAGAAATGAGACAAAGGAAGAAGTAGAGAAAAGGGGAGGGAAGGAAGGAAAGAGAGAAGGAAGGATGAAACCAAAGAGTTAAGAAGGAATGAAAGAAAGAGGTAGAGAAGGAAGAAAGGAGAGAAAGAGGAAGGGGAAGAAAAAGGGGGAAGGAATAGGTAGCTACCTCTCTTTCATAACAGTCCAGATACCTACCTCTACTTTGAAAATTCTTACTATAGGCCACAGCAACGCGTGGCAGGGTACAGCTAGTATGTGTGTGTGTGTGTGTGTGTGTGTGTGTGTGTATATATATATATATATATATGCGCTCTGTGCGTTATGAGTACCTTAAAACAAAAGAACCAATGAACAAAATCACACCGGATTTGGCAACAAAACGTCTTACAACACAAGGAGTGATCATCACTCAAAAAATTATGATTTTGTCATTTGGGAGTTGTAGTTGCAGGGATTTATAGTTCCCCTATAATTAAAGAGCATTCTGAGCTCCACCAATGATGGAATTAAACCAAGCTTGGCACACAGTTCTCCCCTGACCAACAGAAAACACTGGAAGGGTTTGGTGGGCATTGACCGTGAGTTTTGGAGTTGTAGTTCACCTACATCCAGAGACCACTGTGGACTCAAACAATGACGGATCTGGACCAAACTTGGCAAGAATACTCAATATGCCCAAATATGCACAAGATAGGAGTTTGGGGGAACTACCTCTGGGGATGTTTGCCGTAGATGCAGGCGAAACATCAGGAGAAAATGCCTCTAGAACATGGCCATATAGCCCCAAAAAACCCACACGAACCTAGTGATTCCAGCCATGAAAGCCTTTGACAATACAATAGACCTTGACTTTTGAGAGTTGTAGTTACTGTGATTTATAGTTCTCCTACAATCACGAAGCATTCTGAACACCACCAACGACAGAATTGGGCCACACATCCCACACAGAACGCCCATGACCAACAGAAAGTAGTGTGTTTTCTGGTGGTCTTGGGTGACCCTCCTGACACCCCCCTGGAGACCCCCCCCCTCAGGGGTCCTGACCCCCAGTTTGAGAAATGCTGCCTGAAGGCTATCCAGTTTAACCCCCTTCATCAGGGCAAGAAAACATAATCTAAGCCCTCCTGACAAAGAGCCATCCAGCCATAGACATGTATATGACAGACATAGTATCATAGATTTGAAAGATACCCCTAAAGAAGGACAAATATTCGTTGCATGTTCCAGAGTAGGCAAACCAAATCTCCACATCAACACTGACAAAGAAACAGCAAGAAATACTGTTTGCCCACAAGCATAAAGACATACATAGATTAGAAAGCAACACTTTCTCATTACTTTATTCTCCA